GCGAAACGTTTTCTTATTGCCGGCAACAAAAATTGTTTGGTGGGTACATACATATAAAAGTATGTAGTCGTACTTCAAATCATCGTGAGTGCAAAGTGCACTTATAAGGTATAAGTTATATCCTTTTATTATTTAGATAAATATCAGAGATGTGCTTTAACAGTAAGTGATATCCTTTAGCGATTACGCTCTCATAAGACACTCTTTATATCTACGGTGTTCAATGGGTGGAAGAGGCCCTGTTAGCCAATTCAGCTGCAAAGCCTACACAAAAGATGTTCCCGCAAACACATACACAGAGAAAAAATATCTATTAAAATAGAACAAAAGTAACAAGGAATCGATGACTGAGTGCAAACATCAACCTGTGTGTTTTCATATTATCAGTATCTGAAGTAGAAAAAAAATTTATTAATTTTTACTATGGGAGTATATTTAAATTTAAAACTCTAAAGCCGTTCTTCATCTGGAGTTTTGCTTTTTTGAGTATAACACTATTGAAGTAAATGAGCGATATGTATAATCAATTCTAATACAGCAAAACGGAGGAAACTTATCTAAGTCACAAATCAAATTGAAATCAAAACTAAAATTATGGGATTTTTTATTCGTATTTCAGTAGTTTTGATAAACGAGTTGTAAAATTTGTAGCTGTGAATGCCCCTTTCAGCTTAGCAAGTAAGGGATATTTCGCAACAGCTGCTGTTGTTTCCTGCAACTCATTTCTACTAATTTTTCGTGTTTTTTTCAAAATAAAAAGGTTATAAGCTACATAAATGAATAAAATATTAGTCTACAAAAAAATGGGATTAAATACCGAGCACGGAGCTACCGCATTTCAAGTTTGGCGTGAAGGCCCATATTAAATTTCAATTTCAAAAATTTCGTGAAACCGGTTACAATAGGATTTTCATTGTAGTAAAATAATACGATAGGATAGAGATTATCCTGTTTTCATTGGTATGAGAAGTATTGATGGCGATAATTTTTTAAATTCTGTGTCATATTTTTTTCTGTGTACACGTATGCGTACAAACGTATTTTAGTTAAAATAGTTTGGAAATCGTAACTGATTTCCGGTTGGTTCGGTGTCCACCCCTCCCTGAAAAGCCCACCCCTTCTTTTCGGTCATTTTACTGTATTAGTTTGAGGGCGTTGCCTGAAGGGGAGGCAATGCTCGCCAGCCTTTTAAGGATGTCTCTTGTGTCAAGTGAGCCTGACAGTTTTTATCTACACTCTGGGCACTGTAAGTCAACACGTCTGCATAATTTCCACAGTGCACACAGAATGAGTGTACAACATACATACATGTCCATCTAAAAACTAACTACATACATATGTATGTAACTACATTGCAAAAACGATATTGGTACACATCGTGTAACACATATAGTAATTACCACAATATAGAAAGACCCTTTCACACATCGTCGCTGAAATGCAAAAAAGGCGTAACTAGCTAAAATTTTTTACCGCATAAAACGATGTAAGGACTTATAAATTGATGAAATGCATCATAATCAATCAAAAAGTAAATTTTGGACTTTTAGTTAGTTAGGGATTTTTGTATTTCAGCGACGATATGAGATAGGACCTTTCTATATTAAAGGCAACGAAATGGTACTTATAAATAGTGTATACATACATACATATGTAGATATATGTATCCCGATCCATATCTTTAGATGTGGTACATATGGGCATTTCCAATCTGGCGTTACGTAACGCACGTATGACAAAACGTTAAAAAAAAAATGAAAAGGTCAAAATTTTAGAATAGTTATTTTAGATTTGCATAGCAACTTACAACTATTGTAGCGATTTAAAGATATTAGTAAACATATGCGCCATCGTGACTTTACAAAAAGCAGAAGTGGATTTTGACTTCGATTACGAAATTGTAAAACTTTGCGAATTGGGCAAGACTATTTGTATAAAAGTTTTTGTAGTAATATTTGGCGTTACGTTACTGAAATTTCCTTTGAAAAAGTTTTGAGAAAGAAAGTTGAAAGAATTTTTAACGGGAAGAAAACATGCATTTTATGTCGAAAGTACTTTTTGTTTCGACATCAGCGCCACCAGCGGTTCCATTTTTTTTTTGCAAATCTATGTCTTATTACGTTTCAACTAAACATGCCAAATGTGAAACAAATCAGAGCATTAATACGGTTTTTCAAAATATCTCGATCCTGGCGCCACCTAACTAGACGATTTTTGGCAAAAACGTGTCTGCTTACATAACCAGTATATATTATAAAAAGCAGCCAAATGGTCGTATAAATAAGTTAGATATAGAACTCTTTTTACGCGGTAGACTTTTCGCTGGAATCGTCCATATGCAAGTATGCCTGCATATATACAGTGGCGAGCATTAATGGTTGAATGTTTGCCACATTTGTACTTATGTGCCCAAAAAATTTTTTATATTAACGCAATTTCAACCAAACTTTTTTTGTTTTATAAAGCATTTATTCTGTTAACAGAAACATAAACAAATTTTATTGAAACTTAAATATAAAACTTTCTAAGGCGAAAAACTTAAAGTAACTTTATTCATCCAATTTTGCACGTGAGAGAAATAACGAGTATTAACATTTTGTCCATAACCCCTTATTCTTCAGGGCACTTTTAATGGTTTTTGGCATGCTTTCCACTAGTTTTTCTATGGTCTGGTTCGGTATTTTTGCCCATTCTTCCTGAACTCTTACCCAAAGTTCGTCCATATTTTTGGGGGCCCTCTCATATACCGCCAACCTTTTTTTTTAAATTGCCCATAAATTTTCGATTGGGTTGAGATCGGGGCTTTGAGCAGGCCACTTCAGGACTTTAAAACGTTGGTCAGATAACCAATTTTGCACGATTTTCGCTGTGTGTTTGGGGTCCCCGTCTTGTTGGAATAGGACCTTATCTTCAGGATATGCGCTCATCTCGACGAAATCAGGCTAATTTGTTCTTAAAATATGAAGATAATCTTCCTTTTTCATTATGCCATTGATTTTTGTTAATGGGCCAACATGCCACCAAGTAAAACAGCCCCATACCATTAAACTGCCTCCGCCATGCTTCACAGTTTGCTTTACCTGATGCTTTTGAAGCGTTTCTTGTGGACGGTGCCAGTAGTATTGTTTTCCATCTGACTGGAAGCGATTTATTTTTGTTTCGTCTGACCATATCACTCGTTTCCAGTCATCGACGCTCCAATTTTTGCAATCGTTACAAAATTTCAACCTTGCTTTTAAATTTTTGTCAGACAAAGCCCGTTTTTTTGTCTTGACTGATGAGATCAAACCAATTCGTTGAAGAGCTCTACGAGCCGTCCACTCACTTACTACTTTGTTTATTTCATCCGCAGCTAATTTTGGTGTTATGGTGTTATTACGCCTCAATAACCGTTCCATACAGCGAGCATCTCCGTCAGAGAGTAACCTACGACGCCCTCTAACACTCGATGTAGGCAGCAAACCCCGTCTTTTTTGAACACATAAGACTGTACTGTGGCATATTTTACATCTCTTAGCAATTTCTCGCGCCGAAAGACCATCTTTTGTCAACATCACGATCTTTTTTGCCACGTCTTCCGATATTTACCGCCTTTTTAATTTTATGTTTTTAATTTCGTAGTTACGTACGCTTTGATCGAACTTTTTCAACTGACTATTGCTAAACATGACATAACCAAGCGATGCACAGATGAAGCGATTCAATTATTTCAGATAAAGGTAAATTCAAGGCATACCAAGCCACAAAAGCGTGACGTGCAAAATTGGATGAATGCAGTTACTTTTGATTTCTCGCCTTAGCAAGTTTCACAATTAAGTTTGAATGAAGTTTGTTTATGTTTTTTGTTAAAAGAATAAATGTTCTATAAAACCAAAAAAGTTAGATTGAAATTGCGTTAATGGAAAAATTTGTATGGTCACATAAGTACAAAAGTGGCAAACATTCAACCATTAATGCTCGCCACTGTACATACATATGTACCTTCGATGATGTTGGCTTAGTTTTCGTTTTGTCTTTACACTTTTGGGAAAATTGTGATGTACGCAATAGCAATACAAACGCAGAGGTTATTAAGTGTATACCCAGTGGGAACTCGATAATAATCGCCCCTATACCGATAGTGGGAACGACAGTCGTTCGTCGATATTTGAGATTTTCATTGGTGTTATGAAGCATTCAATGACATAATCTACCGGCAAATTTGTATTCCTGTTATCCTTTCGAAATGAAGAAGTATTGAAAACGTGTCAAAATCTGTCGTTAATGTTTTTATTTACGACATAATTCAACGAACGACTGTCGATGCGAACGACTTGCGACAACCAGAATAGTGGTAAATACATAATATTTTGCCGCTTACACTTTGGCTAAGTGTTTGGTCGAGCTTCTGTTCCAATTAGTGGTATGGTTTTATGAGAAGCCTTTTCAAGGCAGAAATACTATACACTCGGAGGTTTACGCGTCTCACTGTTGACAAGTTATAAATTTGAAAAAGTAGACGACTTCGTCTATAAAAATTACTTTCAATACATTTTTTTCTGCACTTCGCAGATTCTTTTTCGAATTAAAGGTCGAAATTTTGTAATATCATTTTGACCGAAATCAAATATGAGGCCATCTACAAAAGAACATTTATTTCAACAAATAAACATTTTTTTTTTAGTGATAGTTTATGTCCGAAAGAAGTTAGCATGTAATGCAGAGGAAAACAGTTCTCACTATTTTGCGGCCATCGCCCTTCAAAAATAGTTAGTTACGACCTAAGGAAATAAGTTATAAGTTATCTACAAACTAGCCCCGTTTCCTGCAGGGTATGTACACAAATGTTTGAGTATGTATGTATTTACACGTGTTCACCCAAAAGTGCTGTGTACTTGGTTCATACACAGGAAGTGGGGGCACTCTTTGATGTCACTAACAATGTAAAATTTCAACGATTCGCTGCACTGACTCAACTGGCAATTAAACACTTTTTCAAGGTTTCTCTAGTGCCACAGTTTCCTTCAGCAATGTCAGGGTCGTCGCGGCCTTTTGGTCGGCACTGCAGTGGGAAATGTGCAAAAATCGGCTAGTAACGCATTAGGTGGCTTTGAATTATCGATGTTAAATTACAACTTTTGTTATGCGCCTTGATATTAGACTTGGATTTATGGAATGGATAAAAAAAAAATTTGTTTGTAGCTCTGTCAACACTGTGCGCCTCTTCGCCCTTTAACCTTCATCCATACCTTTCCGCATGGATTAAATTGACCCAACTTATTTTTGCAAACTTTTGTTTTGTTTTTTTGTTCTTGCAGGTGGTAAAGCAGGACGAGTTATTCACGAAACTGTTATAAAAATTTTTATTTTCCCATTTTTACATAACTTCCCGCACTAAACAATTTTCATCTCAGTTATTTTAACCCAATTTTCAGTTTTTATATGGCTTTGGAAAGAATAATATTTGTCCTGTTTAAAGATACATATGTATGTATGTATGTATAAGTTTTGTGAAAACATTGTAAATATGTATATAGAAAATTTTTGAAATAAATCTGAAATTTACACGCATCTATCACTTAAATTAAACGAATAGAGAAAATTAACCCAAGCCCACAGTTGAGGATGATGGCGGCGATGCACGACTCCTCAACTATCACAGGCTACGAAAAGCTGCCAGAGGTGTCAGCTGAGACATTCAAGTACGACAACGAGCAGCTGGTGACGCGCAAATTGTATGAAAGTAGATATTTTCCACTTTGTTCATTGCAAATGTTTCTTTTTTTGTTGTTCAAATGGAAGGATCTACCATATTATGCTGACTTCGAGTTATAATATTTAAGACCTATATAAGCTACGAAAATTTTTTGGCAAAAAAGCGGAAGCTTTTGTTTTTTGTGTCCAGTATCGTATTTCACTATTGTTACTCCTGACTCTATACATTTGTACAGATACATGTACACATACCCAGCAGCAATTCAGACTCACCCTAGGTTAGCCCGCAGGTGGGGCACAATAGACCTATTGGTCGCAGTGCCATACCCAACCAACTATCTAGCCCTCAGATAGTCCCTACCAGTTACCAGTACTAGTCCCTCATAACTCCCCTGCCAATGGTTTCAATTGGCATTTTTAGCATTGGCGTGTCATTGGAAAAGGACCGGTCCAATCAACACTGACCGTAAGATAGTCCTGGACTAGTCCAATTTTGGTGATTTTTTTCGTTGGAGTAAGATTGCGTTCTGCACTTCGCAGATGCTTTTTCATAATTCGGAAACCCAAAAAAACAAATAAATTTTATCATTTTATAACCATGTTGGTTCTGACGGCATTTGAACCCGGACCCTCCTGAAAGCTAACAAATAGTGGCAGGCATCTCTGCGCACTGAGCTACAGCCACGCATGTAAATGTGTGTTCAAATGTTCACTTTGTATCAAGGCCAGACCAAGCGATTGGGACATTTACAGGGTGGTGTTCTTTAATTTTTTTTTATTGAATTGCAAGACAACACCACCCTGTCACTGGCAAACTGTACTTTTCGTCTATCTCTTCGTCTGTCTATCCTTGGGGACTGGTCGAAGGTTGATATTTTCGATGCAAGCAAATGTCCAATTCTGACCAGTCAAATTTTAACCAGTGAAGTACTAGTCCTTTAAGGAAAATTGGCCGCCTTATTGCTGCAGGGTACATAAATATTCCCGCGTAGAAATGTATGTGTGTGTTCGTGCACAAAAGCTATTATCTTAAAATAAGGCTGGCTAGGCGTTTGGACTTGGTTGCTCGGTTTGCACGTGCTTGCACTATGTGCTACCATACACATGTATATATGTATGCATTTATGTATATAAATCAGCTATAAATTCTTCAATTTGCACTTACTCGCTAAGTTTTATTTGTTTGTGTTGTTTAATATTGGTATTAAATTTGTTAAAGGGTGTTCCATTTGCGAATAAGACTTTCCCTTTAAATTCTACCATAAAGGTTTCTAAGACATTGAAGGCGGTTTTATAGGATGAAAAAAAGTAGAAACCAATTTAACTTTTTAGAGAAATATTTTTCCATTTTAGTACGTACAGTAGATTAATGCATGATCATAACTGTTGCAACACCTTGAAGTTTTGTTTAAACATTTCTTGTAATTTGATTGTTTTTTTTTGTGCTATGTACATACAAATTCTACCAAAATGACGACAAATATAAAAATCTAACATTTATTTGAATTAATGTGTGAGTATACTATATTTAAAACTTCCGGGTCTTACGCCACACATACATAATAGCAGCTGTTTGGAACCACGCTATAATACTAAATAAAACTCCAGTCACCCTTTACACCGCAATTTGTGTTTTTTTTTTTTTGTGAATGTGTGCATTTGTCGGATAAAAGCTTGGGCAATCGCTGCAAAAATGTGAAAACAATACCATTAACGTCGATACCAATAACTGTAATTTTGCTAACACGAAAATTGTGGAATGAGTTCCATTTAGCTGCGTGCAACTATAATTGGCACACCACATACCAGGCGGAAAAAATTCTGACAGACAACCTCCCACATGTGTATGTATGTATGTACATGCATACCCTGTAGGCAAAACTTGCACTAGAGAAAGTTCTTGTGAACCACTAACTTTTTTTCTAATATTTGGTCTACATTTTTGCTAAGTGTTGGGCCGAGGTTCTCCTACAATTTGTCCTGATGTTATAATACAAATGGAGGTACCTACAATTTTACGCCGCCTACGAGCAGCAAAAAGTTTTTATGAGAAACTTCTTCAAGCCAGAAGTACACTGGGAGGTTTGCCATTGCCTGTCGAGGTGCCAGAAAAAACTTTTTCTAATTTGGATGTTTGGAGCAGGGATCGAATCCAGGCCCAACGGCGTGGTATTACGCACCTCTTACCACTAATCCACAACGGCCGTAAAAATTACCCAGCGACAAAATTCCAGCGAGTTGTAGCGCACTGTATCTCAAAGAGAGCGAGAGATACCTAAAAAAGGACACGAATGCTAAATTTATAAAAGCTCGCAAATTGTATGAACAGCTGACTGACTTGTTGCTTATATCGAAAGCACTAAATAGAAATCGTATGAGAAATGCACTTTGAAAAATTCCACCAACAATTTACTATAACAACGTGCGAAAATGAATATCGGTACTTTGAGGTGAAAAGGTACCAGGTCCATTTTTTTTGACGTAGAATACGTCTTACCTTAAGGTATGGGGGCTATGTTCAAATGTTGTAGTTGTAATTTTTAGAGCTTCACAAAAACGCTTATTGCACGAGAACTAATAAAGCGATTTCAAAGAAAAGTGTGG